CATCGCGATTCGTCCTTTCTCATGGAGACTTTGGGCGGTCTCTGGACTCGCGGTTATGAAATCGACATGGACAAGATCATCCCTCAAGGTTCCCCCGAAGATCCCTCAAAGTGCTTGGCCGATCTTCCTCCTTACCCATGGAATCACGCTAAGTCATACTGGCACGAGTCTCACCTTGGTGAAGCGAATCGGTTCAGAGAGTTTCCCCGACAAGACCTCATCGGCGCTCCCACCGCCGACGCCATCTCGTTTGAGCCTCGCTGGCGTGGCTTCCTCCGCATTTCAGAAAATCCGTGGATTCAGGATCACCAAGTGCAAAAGACTATCATCTACCCAGCAGCAGGAATGGTTACTATGGCCCTACAAGGTGCAAGCCAACTAACTAAGGAGACGGAAAACCTCCTTGGGTTCGAGATTACCAACATGCGGATCGAAAAGGCAATGCTTGTGCCGAATACTACACATGGACTGGAAATGGCCATGAATTTTAAGCGCCTCTCAACATCGGGTGATCAGCACCAGGATCTCGCTTTCGACTTTTGCATCTACTCGAAGCAGCTCAATTCTCCTTGGGAACAAAATGCATCTGGCTCTATCGAGGTACGGTACAAGCGGCGACACTGGGGAGCCGCCTTTCGTCAGCACCGCAAGACGTTTGAGTCGCTCAGGACTACTTGCAAGGAGTGGATCGTCCCCAGGCAGCTTTATGAGCTCCTCGATATTGTTGGCATGAACTACGGTCCTACTTTCCAGAACCTCACACAGATACTCAAGGGAGATGGCGCATGCCTCGCCAAAGTTCGCATCCCTGACACTCAGTCGAAGATGCCTGCCAAGTTTGAGTATGATCATCTCATTCACCCGGCGACCTTGGATTCAATGTTCCAGACGCCCTTCGCTGTATCATCTGAGCCTATGGTCCCGACCTTCATCAGGAGTATATTTGTCTCTGCAGCCATCTCTCGCGACCTGAGCAAGCACTTCAAGGGTTACGCCACTGCGACTCGAACGGGTGTCCGCGATGCAACCGCAGACATTGCCATGACACAATCATGTTGGGACCAACCTTCGGTAGTCATCAGCGGTCTCCACTTCACCAGTATCGCCAATTCATCTCAAGCCGCAGGGGGTTTTCTGCAGAACAGTCGCACTTTGTGCACTCAGATCTCGTGGAAACAAGACATCACGTGTGCACGAGCTCCAACAGTCGAGGTTCTCGCCACGACACTTGCTCACAAGTTTCCGGGTCTATCTATTCTTCAGGTTGGTGGTAGTGCACACACTGCCCTAAAGATTCTACATGCATTTGGTTGCCCTCAGGGGAGAACGCCTTGGTTCTCGCGATACACTTTAGGGCACACTGCTGGTACCAAGCCCCTACAAAAGCCGTCTCTGATTGAGGGGACACATTACGAATATTTTGTCGAAAACCGAGCTGTTGGTGGCTCCGAACCTCTGCCTAAATATGACCTGATCATTGTTTGTGTTCAAGATGATGTCGACACCGCTAGGCTCCTGGAACACGTGAAACGACCTGGTTTTCTGCTGGAAAGCCTGCCACCTGGCAATTTTGACTCTGCTGATAAAGAGATAATTAGCCACAGCTACCAAGACGACAATGGCGGAACCGTGAACATGGAGTTCAGCGTTCATCACCTAGACCCGGTCCACGATTGGCTTTCTGTACCCAATGTGGTTGTCCTTCTTCCCAACGAATATCCTTCAGAGGCAAGATCTTTTGCTGGGAAGCTGATTCTGGAATGTTACAATACTTTACAAATTCAGATTATGCATCTGGGTGAAGTAACGAGTCAGCCGGAAAAGCTCAAGGGCAAGATTGTCATCTCGCTTCTTGATTTTGCGACCGACAATATAGGCGCCTATGTCTACAACTGGTCTGAATCAGAATTCAAAGGTTTCCACACTATGCATAGGCTGGCCAAAAGCATCCTTTGGATCTCAAGGGGTGCTCATATGGAACCCATGAACCCCAAGGGCGCTCCTATCATTGCCCTTGCGCGCACACTCAACTCAGAGGATCCTTTGAAAATGTTTGTGACATTTGACTTGAACATGAGCACGTCACTGGACTCTCCCACAGCCCTCAATTCTGTCAATAGGATCTTTTTGCAAAGTTTTGTATGGGCTGCTGGCTCCGGTCCCCGCGAGTTGGAGTTCGCCGAGAAGGATGGAGAGATTTTTGTTCCTCGCCTCGTTCCCATTGAGCCACTCAATGACATTGTCGAGAAGGGCGCAGCGCATGATGTTTCCAAGGTGTCGTTCCATGGCTATGTACGGCACTTAAAGCTTCAAATTGCTCAGCCCGGTCTAGTTAAGAACAGCTTGGTGTTTTCTGCTGAAACCCAATTCGCTCCCCAAGCTGGCGAGGTCGAGGTGATTTTCGATAGCGCCCCTCTCACCTTTATTGACTTGGAGACTGTCATGGGACGAAGTTCAGATTCCGACTTTGGCACTGAGATTCGCGGCAGTGTTAGACGCACGGGGTGCAACATCTCTGGGTTTATGACTGGTGATTGCGTCAGTGGCCTTGTCGCTGGAGGCGCTATTCAAAGCAATGCCAACATTGACGGCCGGTTTGTCGCGAAATGGTCTTCCAAAATCCCTCTCAGTCATTGTATCAGTGCATATCATTGTCTTGTCAATGTCGGACGAATTGGACGTGGAAAGTCGGTACTGATCCATGCTGGAGCCAGCACGTTTGGCCTTGCAGCTCTCGGCTTGGCTTCTCGATTGTCTGCCGATGTTTTTGTGACCATCATGGGCAGTGGTGCCGCGAGCCAGCGCGAGTTTCTTCTCAGTATTGGTATTAAGAATTCTCACATTCTCGATGCCGACACAGACAACTTTGCTGTGATCCTTCGCGATCGTTTACAAAGGGGTGTTGACCTCGTGTATAATCCTACACAGAAACACTTTGATGCTAACATCAAGTGTGTGCGACATGGTAAGATTTCGTACATTCCGATGCCTTTATCAACATCTAACAGTTCATAGGTGGTATTATTACACAATTTTCCAACAAGTCCCCGTACCCTCCACCCGTTCAACTTGGATCCCCGACCATCTCGATTGTCAACTTTGACTTAGCCACACTAATGAAACACGACGCCGACTACGTGGCAGAGTTGATTGAGGATGTCTCCGAGTACGAAGAATACCTGGAAGAAAAGCTGGTGACGGAGGGACTTCTTGTTCAAAACATTGAACTGCCCAACATAACCGAAGCCTTCAAGCTTGTCGAAAAGAGCCCATTATTTGGACTTGTATCCGTCACCGCGGCCATTGACTCTAATACCATGGTTGAGATCCAAACTATGAATCGAACCAAGTTGCTCCACCAGACGCTGTCTCGTGAGCACACTTATATTTTGGCTGGTGGTCTTGGCGGTCTCGGCCGCAGTATTTGCGACATGCTCGTCAAGAATGGAGCTCGGAACATCGCTTTTATATCTCGATCAGGGGCATCCAACAAATCCTCTCAGAGCTTCCTCCAAAATCTCAGGAACTTGGGCGTCAACGCACGGGTTTACTGTGTTGATATCTGTAACATGGCCAGTCTTGAGATGATCATCCGGGAGCACATATGCGAAGAAATGCCTCCCATCAAAGGTGTTTTTCAATGCGCCGCAGTAATCAAAGACTCAATTTTTGCAAACATGACCCACTCTGACTGGATGGAGGCAGTCCGGCCAAAGGCAATGGGTTCGCACAACCTTGTACAGGCGATCTCAGACAAATCCGATGATCCATTCTTCATCTTCCTAGCCAGTTCTGCTGGAGTTATCGGTAATCGAGGTCAAGCGAACTACGCAGCTGGAAATTGTTTCGAAGATGCCCTTGCGCAAAAGTGCCGCCTCCAAGGAAAGAATGCAACGTCCATCGACCTTGGGCCTGTGCTGGGTGCCGGTATGCTTGCCGACGACACCGAAATCCTCGACATCCTGAGAGCGAGTGGGTTCTACGGTATCAGGCACGAGGATTTCCTTACCATGGTCGTGTGCGCCATTACTGGAGAGATCACACCCAGTACTTGCATGCCCGAACGTGTCATAATGGGCATCGGATCTGGTGGACTTATCCGACAAAATCAGCCAGCTGATCCCTACTGGTCTCGCACTGCACTTTATGGTTACCTTAATCTGGTTGACATGCCTCAACCTGACCTAAGCATTGTGGACGGTACAACCAAATTTGACTTGAAGTCTCTCCTGACATGCTGCACTACCATTGACGCAGCTGCCGAGATTATCACTACAGGCCTTTCACACATGCTTTCTAAAGCTATGAACATGTTACCGGAAGAAATCGACACCGGAAAACCACCTCATGTCTACGGAGTCGATTCTTTGGTAGCTGTCGGAGTGCGGAACTGGGTTGTCACCAACTGCAGTGTTGAGGTCTCGGTTTTTGAAGTCCTGAGTGATCAGACTGTTGCCGAGTTGGCTATGGAGATCGCCTCGAGAGGTGGTTTTGGACTAGAGGCCAACTAGAGAATGTTTTACGATTTGGTGTATAAGGGAAGAAGGGCGACAAGTAGAACAGATGATTCTATATAGGATGTGTCAGAGATTATACCAATGTTTGTGTGCGAGTTTGGAACTAAACAGGGAACGGCTTTTGATACTTTAGGGAATACCAAAGAACGTCTTGTTGTTTTTGTTAATATTTCAGAATCAGAATTGAGCATGTCTTGTGCTTTACAGGGTTAACAACATCGTAAGTAAATGAATTCCGCGACATGCATTCTCTTGGAAGTAAATCCCATACCGTGCAAGCTTGATTAAACGTATCGAAAAGTCCATATCGCGACGTTAAGTTTGAGGTAGAGCGGATTCAGACGTTAGTCAAGATCCGACATAATCAATGGGCATCCACAAACTCAATCTCGTTCTGCGGAAGCTCAACTCTAATGCTAAAGTTTTACCATCTAGACAAAAATAAATTGCCAGTAGTACCGACAAAAGAAGAACAAATTAGAATGCGTAATCTGGGAATCGAACCCAGGGCTCCCCGAAGTTACACATATGGCAACGGAGAATTTTACCACTAAACCAATTACGCTGGTGAAGAGAGATTATCACTCGACCGAGATCGAAGTGAATGCGTAATCTGGGAATCGAACCCAGGGCTCCCCGATGTTACTTGAATGGCAACGGAGAATTTTACCACTAAACCAATTACGCTTTGATGGACGAGAGCCTCGTAAGAGGGGTAAATGTTCTTCGAACCCTGCTACCCTAGACCAACGACTTCCACTCCTCTTTTATTCATACACTGACATAAAGGCTTCACTGTTAAGCTCATATCTCTTTTTAGATTGACGATGAGTGACTTATCATACTTATTATACACTGGCATAAGAATGATGGGATCTTAGCTTCATGGATTTACTACTAGCTTTCTGAAGTACATTTCTTTGTGGCAGTCTCATGGAGACTGTGTATAGCGCAATCATTCCTGACCTTGTTTGTTCCTTCCAGCAACTCTTTGTGCCTCCCATATATTCCTAGTCGCGACGGACACGTTTTCTGGATTTGGTGACTTCTGTAAGATGTCCCGTCGTGTTGCGAAGAGCCCCGCCCCGCGTCCTGAGGGGAGCCAGAGTCTCGCGATTCTTGTCGTCGGCATCCCTGTCCCCGTCATTCACCTTTCCACGAGATCCAGTACGGGACTGAACACCGACTATGTCGTTGAGTTTGTCGATCTGTTTCTGCTGGTCTGAGCTCATCGCTTGAAGATTACTTATCAATGAGTCCTGCGTTCGGATTGTCTGTTCCTGTTGTCGGATCATTTGTTCGAGCTGTCGAGTCATGGGACCCCATATAGAAACCTCATCGGCCAGCTGTGACAGAAAGGGGCGCACGATACTTCCACTATTATCCGAAGAGTTCTTGAATGTCAAGTCACCGTCGAGGGGCTCTCCATAACGCATCACCACAGCCTTCCGGATGCCATCTGCGTAGTCTCTCAACATGCTCCAACCATACACACCGACGAGAATGAACCATCTCTCATAGGTGACACTGATCCAATTGGCCTGTCCTTCCTCCTCATCATACATATGCATGCTGAGTTGGTGCTTGAATGGTTGGAATATTGACTGTGCATTGTGCTGAAATTGGCCGGTCCCGAGTAGATGAAGCAGCCTGGATCGGACGCGAGGAGGCATGCTTGATTGGTGCTGGTTGAACAGAGTACATAGTCGAACTGCGCTGTGGCGATCAGACTCTTCTTGGGTACCCAGAGGTAGGTCTTCCATCTTCAAGTAAAGGGGCTGCTTCTCTTTTCCGCTCCAGCTGGCTTGTCGATTTTGCGATACCTAGATATACAGACTGTGTTAGTTCCTCTCCGGTTCGTACTCTCCAATACTAACATCTAGAAATTGGTTTTGTTCGACATCATCTTTCTGTTGAATTCGAGTCTCACCGGAGTCTTGCATGCCAGGCTCTCTTTTAAGTCGAGTGTTGTCGGAGTTATTGTCCTGGCAATCTTGTTCGCGGGCTGGAGGCCAAGATGGCATACGACCTTGGAGCATATCTGCGTACCATTCTGATATAAAACCCGAGTTAGTTTCATGTGGATTGTTGGATTGGTGCAATAGTTCTTACGAATAGCCTGCCGATGCGGCTTGCCATCTGTCTCGCCAAATAAGGGACGGTCGTCGGGAGCCACTTTGCAACCATGATCGAATCGATAGTGCTCTTCAAGCTCGAGACTGTCGTAGCGATAGACCTGTAGCAATTAATCTCTGACTCAGTGTACAGAGTTACTAGAGGATATTCTTACACTCCTGCAGAGAACCCTAGTGACGGGGTGTCGCCATCGACAGTACACTTCGCCAGGAACAAGATGGATATGCCCACCCTAACTTGGTCAGTAGGATAACATGAGATTAAGGAAGCGAAAATATACCTTGCTATAGCCGAGTGGTGGTAGTTTGTCGTCAGGACGAGGTTCTGAGTGGTATTTCCGGTAAACCTGGGGCTGTCCAACATTCGCGTAAGGCGGCGCCATTGTTTCTTGACTCTCTCGGGTTCTATAGAGAAAGAAATGTACTCAGGGGAACAATCGGCTTGCGGCCGCTGGTGAAGATAAAAAGAAAAGGGGTGGAGTGCAAGTGCAATTGATTTAGAAGGAAGAATAACGCAGGAGTCCTGCTGCCTGCCTTGAACGGATGAACCTCTCGAAATCTGCCTGCCTAGGTAGGTACCTTAGTAGGTACCTAGATTTGAACTCTTGCACTGACAAGAAGTGTCAATCCCACCCACAGAAGGGATACACTTCATTCTTGCAAGATCAATTTAATTCAGACGCGGCTGCATTTCTACTTCTGTTATCGTCCGGTAATCGATTCCGTGTCCCATCATCTCACCACGCCGGAAAACCCTTCGTTCTTTCATAGCAGCCACCAACACTCGCACGACGGATTAGTCTTCTCTGGTTAGTACCTATGCACAGATATCTCAAATCTCCTCTAATGATCCAATAGATCTGGTATCTGATCAGAGAATTACCAGCCATGGCGACCCCCCAGCTCGGTGAGATACTTGCCAACTTGACTCCGCCGTCTGTTCCATACGGTGTAGCCGCCACAGTCAGGGTCGTCGCGCAAACGATTCACCGTGCCCAACCACTGAAGGAACAGTATGGCAAACTCAAGGAAACATATTCCAAGCTTGAGGAAGAAAATCGCAAACTCGTGAGCGACACTACCGGACTCGTGGAAATCAAGCTAAGACTGAACAATAATCGCGGGATCATGGTCAAAACTCGACTACTGATGAGAGACAATTTACGCATGAGACGTACTCTTCGTCGGCTAAAACTTGCGACGTGTGCAACTCTGTCGAGTGAGCGACAGGCTTACGAGGTTGAAAAGACCATGCGCATGCACCGGATGGTGTTGGGACAACTTGACCGTCCCCTTTGCCGAGGTCATTGCCAACGCTAACCACCGGATGGAAATTGGCTCGCAATGGGTGCTTGCACAAGCTTCTATTGCAGGGTGACCTGAGTGGTAAGTACCGGGTCTGAGCCTCTGCATTTTGCTCCCTCAAATTTAGAGACACTGCTAACGACATACTTCAAGGACGTCTGTGTACAGGAGAGGACGATTTGCTCGGCCCAAAGAACTAAGAAAGCAGGCTGGTTGAATAGGAACGACATGTCCATAGTAATTACCGCCGGGAAGATGCAGGGATACCGGTAGATAGGACGTCTAGGTATTATGCTCAAACATTACCGACAAGGCTACGTATTGGGGAAAGTATCCCACCGATAACAAGGAAGCGCATAAGTGGTTTAGTAGTCGCTATGGTCTGCAAAATTGAGAATTCTAAATTGAGCCTTGTCCTATGTTGCCGTGCACCAGCACGTCCATTGTTATACGTGTGGTCAATGGTGGCTTGCACTCTGCCTGCCAACACTCCCTCCACAGCCCTGCAGATATCACCCAAATAAGCTTGGTTGCTACGAAATCCCTTATCTACAATGACCTCAATTTTGATGTCATGTGTTTGTTGGTTTATAGGTATGCTGTCGTCTTACAAATACAAGTACATAGTGTACTAATGTAGCTTGGCTGCTTGGATGTAGTCCTCACAAACCTCCGGTGGGGAAGTTGGAGATGCATGCATGATGTTACCGCAGATGCTGTCATTGGATCATCAATAATACCCGACTGGAGGACTTGCATTCCTCCGGCGGGGAAAGTGACGGCCTCAAAGATTGGGTTCATTCGTTTGAGTATTTATTCTAGACTGTAGTTACAGCATTAACCGTCTGGTGCAAGCACGGCAATTGAGTGTATCATATTCACTGCAACACAACCTGAACAAGCACAATCCCTTCATCTGGCGAGAATTATCATCATGTTCTTTGACGACAAAACCCGCCTCCGCTACAAGTACGATGCGGAGGATGTATGGATTGAGCCATGGGGCCCCAACGCATTCCGTGTGAGAGCCACCAAGTCCGCAAAGATGTCATCTGAGGACTGGGCTCTCCAACAGCTCAAGGAAATAGTACCCAAGATATCCATTTCTGAGGACTCTGCAACCATCACCAATGGCAACATCAAAGCCCGGATCTCTCGTCTCGGCAAGTTGACCATCGAGACCGCAGATGGAAAACTGCTTCTTGAAGAGTACTGCCGCAATAGAAAAGATCTCATCGATCCAAAGTGCAGTGCTCTTGAAGTTGAAGCACGCGAGTTCAAGGGTATTCTTGGAACTGAGAATTACCACTTGACCATGCGACTCGAGAGTATCAGTCCCGATGAAAAGATATTCGGAATGGGCCAGTACCAACAGCCATGGCTTGACTTGAAGGGCATGGATCTCGAACTAGCCCATCGCAATTCTCAAGCAAGTGTCCCGTTCGCCGTGTCGTCACTTGGATACGGACTCCTGTGGAACAATCCAGCAATCGGCAGAGCCGTCTTCGGAAAGAATGTCATGTCATTTGAAGCATTCTCGACGCAGGTCCTCGACTACTGGATCGTTGCAGGAGACTCGCCAGCCCAAATCGTGGAAGCGTATGCAGACGCTACAGGAAAAGTACCCCTCATGCCTGAATATGGACTTGGCTTTTGGCAGTGCAAGCTGCGATACCAGACACAAGAGGAGCTTTTGGAGGTAGCCAGGGAGTACAAGCGACGAGAAATCCCTATTGATCTGATCGTTGTTGATTTCTTCCACTGGCCCAAGCAGGGCGAATGGAAATTTGACCCCGAGTACTGGCCTGACCCTGGTAAGTCCCCTCGTATCGTGGAGCGAAACAGTGCTGACAAGACACAGATGCGATGACGAAGGAACTCAAAGATCTTGGGATCGAGCTCATGGTTTCTATCTGGCCAACCGTTGACAAGAAATCGGAAAACTATGATTATATGGTAGAACATGGTTACTTGATCCGTACGGATCGAGGTGTTCGCATTGGACTCGATTTCCAAGGCGAGACTGTCCACATCGACACCACAAACCCAGATGCTAGGAAATACTTGTGGGAAACTGTCAAGAAGAATTACTTTACCAAGGGCATCAAGACTTTCTGGCTAGACG